TCAAAATATTGACTCTAAAAATACCGATAGCCAAATACGTAGCACATCCGTGAGCCTGTTTGTTCGCGGGCTCTGACCAAGACCTTGGGTGAGCGTGGGAGCGGACGTGGTGGAGCCCCAGGATAGGCCGTGGCCTGGGCTGGCCTTTGGCTCCGCAGTACCCCACCTTTATGTAGGTCTTCTGCTCAAAGATGAAGGACCACCCCCCGCCTCCTCCGCCCCCGCCCAAGAACGGACCCAGGAGGAAAGGAGACCTTTCTGGGGCGGATGGAAATTCTCAGCCAGGCAGATCCTGTGGCCACAGGCTGAACTTGACCAGAAGTCAAGCAGCGGCTCATCACTCTGTCGCGGCATCTTGGCATCTTATCTTCATCCTCTGCATAACACGTGTCGCTTTCTCCTCCCCTCCCATCGAAGATCCAGCTCTTGGCTTGTCCGTAGATGGATTACTGATATCGATGCCTTTTTTCTCTCTAATTAATTATTTTGTTTTATCATCATCGTTCTTTCTTCTACCTCCTTTTTCCTTTCTTTTCTTCTTTCTTCTATTTTTTGGTCCATTATCTAGCTTCTTAAATTGAACACTCTATTCATTTACCGGCAATCTTTATTGCTTAATACTAATAAAAGTGAATCGATGTGTTCTCCTATGAGTATGGTTTGGCTGCCTCCCATCAATTTGATTAGCGGGGTTCTCATAGCTGGTCACTTCTCAAATAGCTATAATTTAATTCCTGAGAACCTGTGATGGAAGAGTTCTGAGGAAGAGTGTTTTCAAAAATTTTCAAGTGGTTTGTGATGTTTAGTTTCTCTGTTTGACGTTAATTTCTATAGGATGACCAGGTAATGCAGCCTGTCGGACTTCTACCTCTGAGGCTATGTCGAGGTTTTCTTTAGGGCCTAGGACATAATCGATTTCTGTAAATATTCCTTGGAGGGTATACTCTTTGTAGAATACAAGTAATATAACTTATTATAATTTACAATAAATATAACATATTGTTATATACACATATACTCTTCTACTCTTTTAATGCTTTTCTTTAAATCTTTAACAAACATATTAAAACTCGAATCTTTCTATTAGCCTCAGGAGTAGAAAAACAACTATTCTTCCGTGTAAGATAAAATCTTTAGCACACTTTTTCTTCTCTCCTCCCTTCCCCTTTCCCCTTTCGGATTTAGATATAATAATGAGAAATTTCAGTTCCAGATTATTACCTAATTTTTTATGTCCTTTCTATTTTAAGTATCCTCTCTCAACAGTTATTAAGCTTCATAATCATATTAGACCAGTCTGTTAGCCAGAGAACCTCAGAATTTTACTGGTTTTTGTGACCACACGATTTTTTTCTGTAACGCGTCTTTCCTTTTCTTGTTATTTGATGGGACAGATTTCCCATTTGGCTGGGAGATGTAATCTCAGAGGCTCCGGAAGACCCTGGACAGCTTCCCATCCACGTCAGGAGGTTGCCACCGCAGGCGTGTTCTAGGCGCACAGTAGGTGCCACACGCTGGGCTGGGTTCAGTTTTTTCCCTCGAAGGGCTTCCAGCTGGGTGGGGGAGGTGGGACACAGCTTGATGCTCCCCAGAACGCTGAAGCCCCAATCCATCTCCAGGGGAGCTGGGCTGGGAGGTGCCCCGAGCTCTCAGGGAGAGGGTGTCTGTCAGTCCTGAGATGAAGTGGGAGGGGGCAATGATGAAGTCCCAGTGCCAGGGTTTTGGGGACCCCAAATCGCTTGGCTGTGGGGACTGACAGGGGTGTGGGGAGGGTGGTTTCACGCTTCAGGGCAGGACAGGGCCTGAGCTCCTCTCGAGTTTGTTCCCCTCAGGAATGCTTAGATACTTTGTCTCAAAGGGTGGACGAAGGCCCACTTGCTTCGAAGTCCCTGGAGATGCGAGCAAGTTCGTGGGCACCTGGACCGTCAAGTCCCAGTCCCAGGGGAGGGCCCTAGCATCTACGCTGGGGACCAAGCTTCGGGTGACTCTGATGCACAACAGAGTTTGAAAATGGCTGGTCCTTCCCTGACAGGCTACACCGCCTGGAGCATGGTCGCTTGGGAACCCGCAGGAAAGAGGAGGGGATGTGGCGTCATGGGTACGAGTCAGCACAGTAACAAACACAGAAGTGACGGGCGGTGCCAGAGCCTGGTGCGCTCCTGTTTACAGCTCCCCACGAGCTACCTGGCAAAGGTTCTGCTGCTTTTCAGACGTGGACCCGTAGGGCTCAGAGAAGCAAAGCGACTTGCTTGAGGTCGCTCAGCCAGCTAGTGAATTTAAATCAGGGTCTGGAAGCCAGTTCTCTGTGCCCCACCTCCTAGCGTGCCACTGGCCACAGAGGTCGGAGAGGCCCAAGGTGTTGGGGGTGCGGTGGGGAGGCGTGTCAGGGCTCCAGCGGGTCTGCCCACAGACGCATAAGCTAGGAACGTGAGTGCGCACATGCTGGGGGACCCTTTTCCTGGGGAACCCCCAAGCCACTGCAGGGCAAATACCTTTCATAGTCCCAGGCTCTTGTTCCTGGCCCCGCAGGCCAGCCCTGCAGTGAGGCTGGCACCTGCTGGCACAGACGGCACCATCTCAGTTAGCCCTCATCACGGTCCTCAGAAATAAGAAGGATTGGCCCCTTTGCACAGTTGAGAAAGCTGAGGCTCAGACAGCGTCTCTAGCCAATAAACAGAATTTGAACCCAGAGCCTATGTTAGTTAGTTCCAGCCTGCTTTGCACTGTGAAGATTTTTTTTTTAGGGGGTCCACATTTTTCTAGCCTCCAGAACTGTACAGATCCCACTCTGATGACAGAGCCAAAGAAAGACCCGACTCCTCGAGTTCGTTCCGGAAAGCGTATTTTGACATTGGAGTTGTGCACATTTAGCTCAGAGAGGTTACAGACCAGCATTGTCAGTCCAAATCTAAGAAACAGACAGTGGACCATTGCTCAGTGGGAGAGGGTTTTGGCTGCACGGGAAGGAAGGACTGGGCTGGGTGGGCTTTGGAAGCGAAGCACCCCAGGACCAAGTCTTAGCGCGTTCTGACCCTCTGACTCACGGCCCTGAGATACTCCACGTGCCTCCGAACCCTCAAAGTGACACACAGGCCGGCTCTGCGTGCTTTTCCCTTTTTCTTGTTTAAACACGGGCTTTACTGTTTAGAACACTTTTAGGTTCACAGAAAAATTGAGTGGAAAGTGCAGAGATTTCCCATAAGCCCCCTGCCCACACACAAGCGCAGCCTCCCCGAATACCAACATGCCCCACCAGAGTGCAACGTTTGTTTCAATCAACGAACCTACATCATCATCAACCAGAGTCTGCTGTGGATACCGGGATTCGCTCTCGGTGTCGTACATGCTGTGAGTTTGGACAAATGTGTAATGATCATGATGGCATCGTGCAGAGCAGTTTCAGTGCCTTCGAAACCCTCTGCGCTCTGCTACTCATCCCTCTCTCTGCCCAGCTCTGGCTTTTTAGCCTTTCCTTTTCCAGAATGTTGTATCGTTGGAGTCTTATGGTATGCAGCCTTTTCGGTTTGGCTTCTTTCACTTGGTAATATGTTCCGTGTGTTTTTAGTGCCTGCTATGTGACCAATGCTCATGTATCCCCCCATCCGCTCACCCATTTAAACATTCTGTCACTCACCAAGGACTGACCGAGCCCGCTTTATGCTAGACATAGTTCTCAGTAGCTGCGAATGGACAGACAAGATCTCTGCTTTCATTCTGAAAACCGGAGTCCCCTGGTGAGTCCGCAGGGCACTCTCCCCTGCCCCGGGTGTGTTCCTCCCTGCCCGTGTGGTGGCACAGGTCCAACCCCCTCTGAACTTTTAATCCACACGGTCACCGTGTTAGCAGAGACCGCATGGCACAATTATTTCCCCAGACAGGAGGAAAATAGTAAATTCTTCGAGCTTGTGGGGCTCCCAATTACAAAATGTTCCCATCACCTCCATGGCTACCAGGGCCAGAAGGACACAGATGGTTTACCTCCAGAGAAAGCGGGGTGGGCAGTGTCGCTCAGGGGTGGGGTTGGCTCAGGGTCTCCCGCTGCCCCACACCTGTGCCAGAGCTCCCACTTCCTGTGGGCTGGCGGGAGCCACGGGCGGCCCGTGACTCAGGGAGGCACATTCTGACCTGCCCAGCAGAGCGACGCCCATTGTCCTCCCCCACCCCTGCTCAGGAAACTACCTGCCCTCAGCAGCTTCTAATAATGGCTACCATTTATTGAGCACCAACTGCATATGTGGCACTGCACAGGCATGCGTCCATTTTTGTCTTTGCAACCACCCCGCCAGGTCGGCTCGAGAAATGGGGGAAAAAATTGGGTTAACGGTGTCGCCCAGGGAATGGAAATAGAGCTGGGACTGGATGCGAAGCCCATGCTCTGAACTACGGCTCCCTTTTATCCCTCTGTCTTAGATTGGGACTGGGAGGACAAGAAGCCCATCTGAGTTAAAATCGCCACCACCTCGGTGCCTGTCAGCCAGCATTTACAAAGCCCCTTCCATCCGCGATCTGATTTAACCCCTGCCACCCGGCGAGCAGGCCAGCAGGCTATTTTGCAGATAAACTGAGGCTCAGAGAGGTTAGGTGGCATGTCCAAGGTCACATGGGGCCCATGAGCAGCGGCGTAGCTGAGTGAAAAGCCAGATTCTGGAGTCTAAACCCCACACCCACCCCTGCTACACCCTGCTCTCTCCTCGATGCTTCAGTCCCGGGTGCCCACCCAGAGTCTATAGAAAACAAATCACTAAATGGCTCACACAAATAACACGCACGCCTGTATGTCGCCCTGATTCAGCGAGAAAACAAACCAGAACAAACAATTCCTCCTGCTGGGAGCCCTTCCTGTCACTTGTCACGACCAGGGAAGGAAGAGAACTTTCCCCAAACTCTCCGGGACCTGAGGGAACCCTGCGACACCCACCTGCCGCCCTCGCTCCATGCTGGGCTCACCTGTCCTCCCAGCACAGGTGAAGGAGCAGGACCAGCCCCTGCCCGGCACCTACCTTGACCGGAGTGGCTGCACGGGCACCTCTGTTGCTCCCTCCTCCAGGATCCAGCGTCTGGCAGGGCTGCCTGAGGTCCCCTCCCCTCTGAGCAGCCGCTGGCTGAGCTGAGCTGGAGTGCTGGCGGGAACAGCTCATCTTTCAAGGGCTGGGCCGTGATGTCATCACCCTCCTGGGCACTTCCTCCCTCCACCTCCAGCCTAGTCCTCAGCTCCTGCCCAGTACTCTGAGCCAGGCTGGCTACAGTGTCTAAAACCCAGGACCCCAGAGGCCAGGCGGGACGGCTGCCACTGTCCAGGTCTCTGTCTGCACCTCCAAGCTTTGAGAGCTCGGCAAGTTTCACAGAGGATTTCCAGATTGGCCCAAGGAACGTTCTATTGTGTAGACCGCCGCTCTGTAGAGCCTGGGAGTGTCGGACGCGGCCGCGTCCTGGATTTCAGTCCCAGCTTTGTCACTTCCCTGGCTAAGGGCCTGGGACAAGTGACTTAACCTCTCTAACCTGTGAAATGGAGCTGATGGAGACAAATCTCAGGGGGTGGGGCTGAGGATTAGTGACAGTTAAGGCATACAGTGAAGAAATGAAAGGGTGTCACTCTAATCGAGCTGCTAAATTACCCAAAGCAGGTGGGTCGAGGCCCGAGGGACCGGTTCTGCTCCTGTTTTAATGAGCCGCGGACTTAAACGTCTGAACTCTCCTGTCTGTGCTCACGCCCCGACACGTAGCAGCCCCCAGAAAATCCTCCGGTCGCCCCCTGAGGGGCTAAGGAAAGAACGGTCACGTGTCCAGACCCGCTGACGTCCGGGACGCAGACCGCCACGCGTCTGGAGGGTGACCGTCTCGCAGCCACCCGGAGGCTAAGGACGCAGGACCGCGTCTTCTCAAGGACGGGCTGGTCACCCGCCGAACTCTTCGCTGTCCGCTCTTCTTCAGAGCACGCTGGGTATCGCCTCGCTGTGCCTGCGGCTCGAGAGCCCAAGACCCTTGAATCGGTCTTCGCCACTGACTTCTCGCCACCGCCTCCAGACTCCTTCTGAGTCCATTCAACACGATCCTGACACGTGTGTAACCGCTACGCTGCCAGGCTCTCCTCCGAGCACACAGACGCAGTAACGCGTCTGCTCGCTCTTTCGGGAAGCTGGGCTGCCTGGCTCCCCAGTCTGTGATCCACCTCCTTTCTCAGTTCGACGAAATAATGGATTTGAATATTGACAGCGCAGCAGGTGACCCTGAAAGATTAGTTTTCTTCCTTCCGGCGTTGAGGTAGATGGCTGGCACGCTCCATAAGTGAATAGATTTTTCCAGCATAACATTTGTTCTTTATCATTATTTGTTTACCCTACGGGCTTGTTTTGCTTCTGAGTTTAGGTGTTTGCACAGAAGGTGTAAACAGAGAGTGGCCAGGTGGGCAGGGGGAGTTCTGACGTTTTTTTTTTTTTTTAATGCCATGGATGCCTCTCAAGGGACAATGACAGCAGAAAATCAGAAGCGTTTTCAGAGACTGAACCCCTTTCCCTGTCCTGTTTCCTGGTGACACTTAAGGGTCTGCGTCCCCTGAGACGCAGCCATTTCTTCGGGGACGTTTGGCTGTGGTTCCCTCTCATTTCTACCCTGATGGACTTCTCAGCTTCTCTCTGGAGACTCATTAGTGATTCATATCCATTAACTATCGGAAGCTTAGGAGCTGGAAAGGGCAGGGGCTTTCGAACTTTTTAAAAAATAAACTTTCAAAGATTTCCTCAACAGAGAGAAGACAAAGCTCGAGCTGGGGAATACGCAAGAGGGTCAGACCCCGCCTGCCATCTCCCCTTCCCCTGTAACTTCTCTGAACCAAGTACGAACCCAGTGATCCAGTCCAACTCCATCATGTGGGTGGGGAGACTGAGTCCCAGAGAGTTGATGGGGAGGCCTGGGATCGAGGCCGGGCGTGGCTGTGATGAGCTGTCCGCATAAACTGGAGCCAAGTGCTTTTCTGTCCTGGGTGCCTGGCTCAGCTGCTCTGCACACTGGCTGTTCGACCACATTGCAGCTCCTTAACCTGGGGATCCTGTCTTCTCAGGGGGGGACAGGGCTCTGTGGACAGGCTGCCCAGAGTCCACAGCCCTCTAAAGTGGTACCCGGATCTGTGCGTATGTGCTTTCTCTGGGAGAGAGGATCTGGAGCCTTCGTCAAATTACCGAGGGGGTCTTCTGTGATCCAACGTGTGTTGAGACCCCTCAGGACAGATGGGCCTCATGAAGCCCCTTTCATCTCACACATTCTGGGGTTCCACATCTATGAGCTGGATCCCATGCTGACACTTCTGTGAATTCTATCGACTGAGAGAGCCCCAAAGGCGTCCGTCCACCTACACACATTTCTTCATCCACCAGCCTAATATAGTTTAGAAAATGCCTTGACCCCGTTTTGATGTTCTGGTTGGCGGCCAGTCAGTTCTTGAGCAGCCATGTTCATGCTCCAGTCACTTCTTTATTGGGCTCTCATGCTTTGGACCTTTAGGCACTGGCCCTGATGACCTTGGAGTCAGCTACAAACAACTGTGGATTGTCTCTATGCCTTGGATCTTGCAAAATTATTCAGATTGGCCGATCCACAGGGAGCCTGAGAAATCTGGGCAGCTCCACTCTGCTTGCTGTGTCTGAGCTGTGCCCTACGGCCCCAGCTCGCTCTTACCCTGTCCTTGGGTGCAGCGCCCTGTGGCTCTGCCTGGACTCCTCTCATTTGGAACGATAGTAACAAAAAGCTCTGCTTTTCTTCCATCCAACTGCCATTGTGTTGTGTCCTGCCATCCAAAGAATCTTGAAATCTTATTAAAAATACGCACTCTTCCATTCACCTACACTCGTATCTACCCATTTATCCATCCATCCATCCATCCATCCATCCATCCATCCATCCATCCATCCTCCACCTACCCGCCTACCCGCCCATCTACTCAGCTACCCATTCATTCAGTCTTTTATTGGACATCCACATAGCAGGCTGTGCATCGTTAGGGAGACATGAATGAATCAGGCACACTCCCACTGCGGGGAGCCCACCTCTGAGGCTGGTTCCCTGTTTGGGGCCGAGTGTGGGTGGGGAATAATTTCCAAAGGAGCTCCTTATGGACTTGGTAACAACCCACGCTGGTTTATGTCTGGATCAACACGCCTTTTATACTTTATTATTGCTATGAGGAAAATCGGCTCAACTTTTTTTCCCCCAAATCTCTGCAGCCACTGACTTACAGCCCTTGCCATTCAGTCTGCTCGCTGGGGCCTGCAGGGGCTCAGGCCTGCAGCTCCAGCCAGCCCAGCTGCGCTCAGAGAGGACAGAGTTATTCCTACAGAACTGTGACAAGCTCCCCACCAAGCCAGGGCCCTTTTGTGTGGCATGCTAAGAGCCTACCCTCCTTCCCTCCTCCCCTCGGCCTCTCCAGCCTCACATCCAGCCCCGAAACTTTAGCCCCGCAGAACCAACCACCTAAGGCTCCTAATGTGGCAGGGTGGCCCTTGACTCCAGACCTTTGCCTGTGCCATCGTCTCTGCCTGGAGCGCCCCGCCTTTGGCGCACTTGGTGGCTCCCGCCTTTCTCTCAGGAGGCTGTTCCGCAGTATTTCTGGATGTGCCTGGTTTGGGTTTGCTGCATCCTGGCTGCGCTCAGCAGCCCGACCGTCTCCTACCAGCCCCTGGGGTTTCCTCCGTGCCCCGTTGGGCGTGAACTCCACCAGTCAGGGACTCCTGTCTCATTTATTCCGGTTTATGGTCCCCCACAGAACAGGCACCCCGTGAACACCTGCTGATGGCATGAAGACACGATCCTGTCTTTGGGGAAGAGCCCCCAACCCGACCTTGTCGGAGTGAAGAAAAGACCGTGCAAAATGCAAAGGCCGTAGACACGTATGTACACGTGTGTGTTTAAGAATGTCGGCTCCTCCATTTCAGTGTTCCAGAACATTCTCTCTAAATGGCTGTGTGTGAGGCCGAGGTCCTCAGACCCCCGCCCCAGGAAGGCCATTTTCCATCTGCCTCCAGGAGTGGGCTGTGCTTGTCCAGAATCCTACGGTCCTGACAAGAGAGCCCAACCCACTCCCTGTTGCTCTGGGGACGCCCAGCCAAGGGTAAATCTGTTACGCACGCCTCAGACAGACCTGTCTAGGAAAACTGGAAGGTGGGACCGGAAGGCAAGCTCTGACCGATTCACAGCAAAGCACGTGCAAGGCCTGAAGCTTTGATCGTTTGGCTCTATGGCCCACAGCCATGAACCCTACAAACTCATCCCAGCTGAAGTGCAGCCCTCTGCGTTCCTGCCCCCACCCCCATCCCGAAGACCCCCGCACCTCAGCCCTGCTGCAGGCATCGCCCTTGGGCACAGGCCGTCTCTCATTTCCCAGCTCCGATCCCCCGTGGCTGCCCACTGCCCAGTGATAAGCTATTGGCTACTTAATATCCTTCTACATAAAGAAAAACTGAAAATTTGATTTGTTGGTATGCATCTTACCATCCATCTTTCTATCACTCGGTGCGTTTTAAGTGCAAACATCTGTGCACTCATCTCCCATGTGCCATCGCTGGGACGATGCCATCGATGTTCCACGGCCTGCACTGGGTGCGCATCCCATGCTCACCGGAACAGTGGAGACGCTGCACAGAGCAAACCCATCTGTTTTTATCTAACTTCTCGATATGAGGTTCCCCCCACAATTCCCGTCCCATTTGGGTTTTCCCACCCCCTTCCTCGGATTCGGGGAGGGAATGAAGTCCTTGCCACTGAGACGCTGCACAGAGCAAACCCATCTGTTTTTATCGAACTTCTCGATATGAGGGTTCCCCCCACAATTCCGGTCCCACTTGGGTTTTCCCACCCCCTTCCTCGGATTCAGGGAGAGAATGAAGTCCTTGCCACCTGGCGAAGAGGCAAGGTGGGAGAGGGACTCGGGGGGAGGTGAGGGGTGGCACAGGGAGGCCGGTCCTTCCTTGGTCCCTCTGTCTGACTCCCTGCCGCCCTGGGAGGTGGACGGCTGGGTCAGGCCGGTTAAGGATGGCAGATTATCCATCACCCAGGTTAGGAGGAAGGAGCCCTTGGTCAGCCTGTCAGCCAGTCAGCCCGGCCACCCTTCCTCACGCTGACCTTGGCTCTGGGGCTGTGGCCTCCGGTAGGTCTTGAGAGCTGATTACTCATTTCCTGCTGCTGGGGCGCCGGCTGGGGGCTCCGGAGGCTGGGAAATCCTCAGGGTGAGGAGTGACGGCTGATTCCTGGCACCCCTCAACCCCTCTTCTCCTAGGACTGACCAGTGAGACAGGGAGCCAGCTCGACCTCCAGGGTCCTTGTACCTCCCACCAAACCTGGGACCCTCTCCCGCAGCGTCGGCACTGGCCAGACTGACCGGCCTGGAGCCCATCAGGCTGGCACCGCGCCCAGGTCTCTCCCCTCCCCTGCCATGCTCCTCCCTCCTCACCCTCCGCCTCTCCCAGACCCAGTCCCTTCGCTCCCCAGCCCGGGGCGGTGCACTTGCTCCGGAAGCCCCCTTTCTCTGAGCTCCGTCTCTACTGCCCCTCACTTTCTGTCTGTGCTCTCCAAGTGCCCCATGACTTGTCTTCCTCAGGGCCAAGGGGCCAGGGTCCTCCTGAATGTCCCCCACACTTGTCACAGGGGTGGCTCCATGCATACAACCATAACTGCTTTGTTCACCAATTTCTGCATGAAACACAGAGGGGATAACTTCTGCCTTGTGGGTTGCGAGGCTCAGGGAAGATGGCCGATATGTGGTGACTAGCAGAGCAACGGGCACAGAGTAGGGGTCAATAATAGAGGTGCTGACCTTGACTTTCAGCTCAGAGCTGCCACCACCAGCTGCAAGAGCTTGGGCAGGAGTCCTGGGTCCCCCGTGGTAAAATAGGGACAGTAACACATCACCAGAGGGCCAGCTGCGGGGATGGCTGAGTGGGAATGCATGGGACACTTAATCCCCCCAGACTAATTCTCTCTTCTCGGCAGTGTGGACTGTGAAAACGCTCCTTTCACCCCCTTTTTAAAAAAATTGAGATGAAATTCATATGACATATATTAACCATTTAAAAGCTTACCTAGTTCAGTGACATTTAGCACATTCGCAGCATTGTACAACCCTCACCTCTGTCTAGTTCCAAAAAATTTTC